AGAACATGTACATTGTTAGGTAACTGTAGGAAAAAGCTGTTGCTAGTTTTGTTGAAAATATTTTCGTTTGTAAATAAATCATTATCAAATATTCGTTCATATAATGGTGAAATTAATTCATACAGATTAAACATCGCTATATATTGGTGACCCCGAATAACGACAACAAGAAGCACGACATTCCTACATCAATGTTACCAATGTCGCTAGAAGAAATCGAAGCTCAATATTGGCGAATCTACGGGTGCAACAAAATGAACTTTCCACCAACGTTCAGCAACGCAACGACCCTGGTAATGCAGTGCCGGATTTAGGGTACTTGCGGCCCTAGGCCAAATTATTTGAGCGGCCCTCCCACTGTGGTGGAAATTCCTTGCGATCGCGAAAGTAATCGTGAATATCTCCAATATGCATCAAGAGGTCATCATCATCGACACCCGTGATAGTGGATGAAATCGTGGACATCACTCCTAAACCAAGTCAAAGCCATCATAGGTATCCATGACCGCGGCAAAATCCATGCAGCAAGGTTTCCTGCTGCCACTTGTTCTCGAATGAAAAAGTGTTTGATTTCAATGTGGTTGGTTCTTCTGTGATGCTGGATTCTGTGCTAGACATATAGCAGCTTCAATGTCTACGAAGATCATGGGTGTACTACATTATTTGTTTTTTGAAGGTCTTTCAAAAGGTTTGGAGAAAGATTGATAAATTTTGGTTTATAAGGTTAAAAAAAAGAGAAAATCCCACTTTAGTCCCATAAAATCCCTCTTTGAACTCCGTTCCTATGGTCCGATCATGCTGGTTCGCAAAATTATTCAAATTAATCCCGCCTTACACCTTTAAACCAAATTACATCGAAATCATACTCAAGTCAAAAGTAACTCAAGTTATCGTCTCTACGGACACACAGCGTTTATATTCTTCCCTTTTTCACCGTACTTCGAACACAGAGGTCTATACTGGAAGTCTAAGTTATTTATATACGAACAATTGAACGTGTTATTTACGAATAGTGATAAAACAATATATTATAGGCCTAATATCCTAAAATTTAATCCTAAGCAAAAGCTTATCTAGTAGCAAGCAATACCACTATTGGCCAATTAAGTTAAGTTGTAACTTATTTAATTAATTGGTATGTTACCTAAGTATCAGACGGGTAAAAAAAAAAACAATCAGGACAGTTATAAATTTAGTTGTACCTACTTGATAGGTATTCAACAATGTGTATTGTTTACAGTACATTGGTTGTGTGATAAGTAAATACTTTTTTCCTAAAGATACCTAACAATGTACATGTTCTCTCACTGATTTGAGAAAGCAAGCAAAGTGGCCAATTCGCTCATCAAAAAACATTGTCTCACTTTAATTACCGTACTTTGTCTCACTCGCTTCAGATTTGCAACGTGAAGGCACGAAATAGCGAGCGCGTAACATGCAGACAAGGTCGTATGCGCGCGAAATACGTTGGCAGCACTGGCTGTAAATCAGCTGGTCAGCTGTTATACTGTTGTTTCATTAAATGTCATATTAAAAGTTCACATCTGTGTAAAAATACGTTACGTTTCTTTACCAATTTATTTGTTTTATGGTAACTGTAAGAAAAATATAATGTGCAACTCGAGTGCAAAGTGCAATTGCCTCACTCGAGAAACCATTCCTCACTCGCCTACGGCTCGTGAGTAAGTATTTCTCTCGAGTGAGTCAATCGCTCCCTTTGCTCACTAGTTGCACAAATAACTATTGTCTTTTAATAATAAAGTTGTTTATTAAGTTAATTTGTATATTTATTTACGACAGAATCAAGTACTTTTGCACTATTAGTTGGACACAAATGGTGGAAGGCAGTTACGTGATTTTCAAAAGCACATTTTAGCAAATTTTCCACATTTGAAAGTAGCTATTATCGCAAGTCTCATGGTAATACCTAGGTCCGGCGGTCCGGGACCGTTTAAATTTTTTATTTTTTTCCCAGAGGCCAAAAACCTGTGTGTTCAAATGTTAGATTGTTAGATGAAATTTGGTTTGAAGGTGTAAGGCGGGATAAATTTGGATATTTTCACAAACCAGCGTGATCGGACCATAGGAACGGAGTTCAAAGAGGGGTTTTATGGGACTAAAATGGGATTTTCTCTTTTTTTACCCTTATAACACAAAATTTATCAATTTTTCTCCGAACCTTTTGAAAGACCTTGAAAAAACAAATAATGTAGTATGTAAAAGCGTTTTTATACGGTTATTGGTGAAGGAGAAAATAAAAATATTTTTCATTTAAAATTTCAATGTTATTTTTTTGGACAATATTGTAAATGTAGTAGTTGGCTTAATTATGGATATATTTTGATCAAACTTGGCAGATTTCTTTATCCAACACTAAGCCATTAATATATTTTAATAAAAAATCCACTTTATTAATTTCCCTTGAGCAGCAAACCTAGGCACTCTTAAACAATGTTAATTTAATATATTAATTGAAAAATCAATCCAGGCAAATGGAAATTTGCTTAGTCGACAGGATTGCTGCACCGGGGGTATTTATATAGTGGGAAACTTCCTATGGACTAATTACATTGATTTGTTGTGCTTTTATTTGCATAAAAGGGGGTAATGGTCTTATTTTAAGTAAAATAGTTGGTGAAATCGTAACATGTAGCAATTTTAAAGACATCATAACCGGAAACTGCAGTGGGTCCAGACGTGATACCCGAGTTAAAAACACTTCTATAGACAAATACATCAACATTGTATGGTAAAACTGTCTATGACTCGTACACAGCCATCGGTGTCGGATTTATATGAGTTTTTGCGCCAAATTAGGTTGTTTTGTACGATTTTTCTAGTTTCTTGACGTGATCCTTTGCGTAAAGCATATCGAATTCGGTATTTTTGTAAAGCCCTTTTAACGTGCTACAACCTTCCCTTTAAGTTATTTCTGATATATTGTATCAATAAAACGTAATCAACAAAAATAACACAAAAATATTTAAAAATATAGGTTTTTGCAAAATTACGAACAATACGGTACTTTCCTGTTAAAGGGAACATTCATTATTATCGATGATTTTTCTCGATATATCGATATTTTTTTTCCGATCCATTACAAACACATTGACAACTGATCTTGTTTAGGCTAAAATAGTCTATTATAAGAAATGAAACTGTTCTAAGCTAACCTAACATAACCAACCAAACTTGCTGTACCATTTAAAAATTCCGTTAGGGTTTGATAACAGAAAAGGCAACTTAAACACGGAATTTTTAAATGTTACACAGCAAGTTGGGTTAGTTATGTTAGGTAATTTTTTTATAACAGTTTCATTTCATTATCGTTTTTCATTTCATTATCGTTTGTTGATACTGTACTGAACAATATTTATCGTATTTGTCAGCTCCAGCTGATATGTTTCAATTTGTTAATATCGATATATCGAGAAAAAATCATCGATAATAATGAATGTTCCCTTTAACAGGAAAGTACCAAAAATGCACTAAACAAAAGTGTAAAAGTATGAAAGATAGCATGTAAACTTATCTTTCAAACAAAAAAAAGTTCATTCCGATCCGATACATGGTATGTAAAATATAGTTTTTTTTAATATAGCCCTTTCCGCCATTTTGACGACGTCATAACCGGAAACTGCAGTGGGTGCAGAAGTGACACCCGAGTTGAAAACACCTTATTCAGACACATACATCAACATTGAATTGTAAAACTGTCTATATAAGACTTGTGCACTGCCCTAGATGCCAGACTAATAGGCGTTTTTGCGCCAAAATAGGTTTTTTTATGAGATTTATCTAGTTTCCTGACGTAATATTTTGAGTAAAACATATCGAATTTGGTATTTTTGTAAAGCTTTTTAAATGTTCTACAACTTTTGCCATTGGTGGTTTTTGATATACTGTATCAATAAAACGTTACTAACAAAAATAACACAAAAATATAAAAAAATACAGGCTTTTGCAAAATTACGAAATAATTACTAAACATACAACAAATGTGTAAATGTAAAACAAATAGCATTTAAACTTATCTTTCAAATAAAAAAAAGTTCAATCCGATCCGACAAATAGTTTGCGAAATATACGCTTTTTAAAAATCAATGGCCGCCATTTTGATTACGTCATAGCCGGAAAACGTGGGGGGGAGGAGGTAAACGCCCAGGTTTTTTAAACTCCCTAGACATCAAACTAAAACATTATGCAAGAATATTGAGTATACGCAATCTTGCACACTAAAGTATAGCTAGCTGCAGGACTAAACGGCGAATAAGGTCAATGGACTCGGGGTGTCAGAGTAGCGACCGCGGTTTCCAAACGATGAACGGCGAACAGGGTTGGTCAAATGACCCGGGGTGTCAGGGTAACGGCCCTGGTTCCCAAAACGATGAAACGGCGAGCTAGCGTCGAGGGATCGTGGATTTATTGTTCCTTTACAAGATTTTAAATGGACTGGTGGATTGCAGTGATTTAGTTAATGTCAGTTGCTTTCTCAAATGTTTTTTCTATTTTGTTTTGTTCAACACTATATTGCATGTATCACTATGGCTGTGTTAATGTCATTGTAGTCAATTCTCAATTATTTTGTCTGTCTTGTTGTATTGCAATCATCATTATGTTAAATTTTCATATTGTAGCCATTAAGCAAATATCTATCTTTTGTGTAGTTAAGCATGTACTATAACACTATACATACATTTATTATTATTTATTGTAAAAATATGTCATGATGTTAACGCACCATACCGATGTTAGCCATCAAATTTTTCATACGTATTGTTTTGTTAGAATTTTATAGCATATTAGCATAGGCTATTAGTTGTTACCGTCAAATAAATAAATAAATTGCTGTACTTACTCAACGAACAAAGACTTGACTAAAAAAAAAACCAGTTCAACTTCAGTCAATTCAATATTCAATAGCCACTCATGACTCACTAGGCTAAGGCTAGTCAGTCTCAGTCTCAGTCAATGCTATTGCTTTATGCTTGCTAAAAGCTATAACAAAACGAAAACATAATCATATGGTGTGGTCTGTGGTGGTGGTGTGGTGTGGTAGTTGTTAAAAGATTTGTCTGTCACCGGGATTTGTTTTATTTTACACAAGTTACAAAGTTACAAGTTACATTTTTTCATTCCATCACGATTCTATATCATCTCATATGACTTCGAATTTCGCAACTAACAAGTTTGGACGATAAAGTTTGGACATTTCATCATAATAGCACCTTATTCTTAACGGTTTCTCCGATATCATTGTACGCTATCAAGTCAGTCGTCTCTTCAGACTTTGAAGTTTTGAACTAGGCATAATAAGTTAAATAACGTTCAGTAGTAGGCTAGTACTAGCCTATTTTATTTGTCATTTCAACTTATGCCGAAGCTTGACATGGATTAATCTCACATCTACACTTAATAATGTATCTGATGTTTCCAGTTAACATATTGAAGTCAAGCAATTTAGTTACAGGTAGATCTATTAAATAAGGGTTAATTAGGCCTAGGCTACTTAGGCATACCTAATTAAGTCACAGTTAATTAACCTGCCTAAGTCACCAAAAGTTATAGCCTAACTTAGTACGGCGGAGATGGTGTTTAGCTGTAAGTTAGGCCTAGGCCTAGGCCTGTATGTTTCTGATATGTTAGGTGAGTAAACAGTTTCTTTACTTGCTAAGCCTAAGGTAATATTGATTGAAAATAGGCCTACAGTGGAACCTTGATAACAAGACCCTCGATAACAAGTCACCCTTTTTAACAAGTGTCATTTTCTAATCCCCTTGAATTATATTTTAGCCCTTCTCACACGTTGGAAACCTCGATAAGAAGTCAACCTTGATAACAAGTCTTATTTAATAATCCCCTTGAGAGTCTTGTTATCAAGGTTCTACTGTATTGATTAGGCCTTATCAATATTTGAACTATGAACTATGGTACCTACTGTATCATTTTTTGGGGTAATAGTTCTCATGTGTCCGATGTCTTAATATTACAAAAAAAGGTCCTGCGCATAATGGCTAGGGTTGATCCTGAGGAACATTGTCGCCCCATTTTTATTGAATTTAATATTTTAACCGTTATTAATTTATATAGCCTATATTTAATATCATGTTAACTAGTTTTAAGGAAATGGACTGACATGCCATAAAAAGTGATTTTCATGATTTTCAAACTAGAAACAGGCATCAATTTGATATACCCCATGTTAGACTGAGCAAAACAAAGAAAAGTCATAAAATTCTGGGCCTAAAATGTCTAAATAAATTGCCCAACAAATTGCTATCACTTCCTTACAAAGTTTTTATAGCTAAAATTCTTATGTGGCTAGTAAAGAACCCATTCTACAAACTTAACGATTTTTTAGAACTTCCTAAACCATTACATATTGAGTAATGATTGTACTTTTTTTCTCTTATAGTTATCCTCATCTGCATGCATTTTATATTCTCTTTGTATCTTTTGATTTAACCTTGTACTCTACATCTATTGTACTCTTCCTTGACAAATGTTTACCAACATAATACCTTCTTTGACCATTCCACATGCATTTGTAATGTCTATTGGAAAATAAAGCTTTTGATTTTGAACTACAGTAGGTAGAACTTCTTTAATCCGAACCCCCATAATCCGAACGTCCACTAATCCGAACCCCTCATTGCTGTACTCTATACACAGTACAGCAGTTCTTTATTGTATACTGTATTTAATTTACAGTACTGTTTATTCACCATGTTTACTATTGTGTTAAATAAACACTGTATTTTACTTTATAAAACATTTTTTCACTTTTACCAAAATAATGTTGATCAATTTTAGCCATGTTTTAGCTATTGTTATGTAAAAACAACAATATGTTCTGTAATCCGAACTGTTCAATAGTCCGAACTACCCCTGGTCCCAATTATTTCGGATTAAAGAGGTTCTACTGTAGGCCTATATCAATTATAAATAAAATGACACTGTCATAGCCTAACCTATAACTAATTTAACCAAACTTGCTGATAATGAAAAAAATCTAATGGAGATTTAAGGCAATAATCAAATTGATACGAAGTTAGTTTCAATAGACATTCAGTGTAGCCCACTTACCACTTAAGAAACTGTACCCGTTAGGTTGGCCTACCTACTTTCATATGTTTTATATGATTTGAATTAACTTATAGGCTAGGTAGGAGCTGCACTTTACTTTAGGTCCTAAACTCATTCGAATGAAAATATCGATCGATATATCGACCAAACGATATATCGAATGAAACAATCGAACAATCGATATTTTCATTCGGTTGTCTGTAGGACCTAAAGTAAAGTGCAGCCTAGGTAGGTAAGTAGGCTACTTAGCCCTTCAAGACGTTTTGACGTACTTGATACGTCAGTACTTTTTCGCCCGCTGCTGCGTTTTGACGTATTGCGTACGTTCTCAGACCTTCCGTCCGATGCTGCTACCTATCGGGGAAATCCGCTTAAACATCTGGACGCTATCGATATTGCAGTACGTTGAGGGATAGATGTGCTACATGAAACTACAAAAATACCCGGTTTTAGAAACTTTTGGTTGCCTTTGGTGACAAATGTTTACAGGCGTTTGAGCAGAAAAATTTCACTCGCGTCGTCTTGGTTATGTCGTTGTTTGTTTACGTAATTAGATGTTTTCTGTTATTATTGAGTGAATTCCGATTGAGATATTATTTTTAATGTTTTATTATAGTTTCTAGTGGTTTTGTGGAGCAGAAAAGTTTTTATTTCAGTGGATAGTGATTGAATTGTGGTGTAAGTTCTCTGTTATGGTATGGCTCGCAGTAGTGAAATAGATCGTTGGCTGCTGTCGGAATTTGTTGACGATGTAGAGAGTGATGAATATGATATAGATTTTGCACAGTTACAAGGTGATAATCCCGAAGGTGAAAATCCAGAAAGTGATGATGATTTAGCGATAGTTAGGCCTACACGAGGTAGGGTTAGGTTAAGTTATGTTAGGTTAGTTTAAGTTAGGTTAGGTTAAGTTAGATTAGTAATAGGTTATTGACACAATTACCAGGCAAATGTGCCAATATTTAGTGGTTTTTAACGCTTTTGCGATTTTCGATTGCGCTTTTTGGGGTGAAATAAGTTAGGCCTAGGCCTAAAACTTTGGTGTTTGCCGGGGAAGACTTCCGTATCTGTTGGCACAAACAACCGAATTAAAATTTTGATTATTTGATTGTTTCATTCGATATATTGTTTGGTTAGACGATATGTCGAATAATCGATATATCGATCGATATTTTTGTTCGGTTGTTTGTGCCAACAGATACGGAAGTCTACCCGTTTGCTGAAAAGTGAAAGAGGAAAAAAGTGTTTGAAATTGCCAGACGAGAAAAATACTATTAACTTAAAGTAGACCTAATAAAATATTTTTTAAAGCTCCTAAAATCGCTGAATTCTAGCATTTTTCTCGATTTTCAGATTGGTTTCAGAGTTGGGCGTTTCCCCCAATAGTGCCAAAGGTAAAAAGTGCGGCTGCACTTTACTTTAGGTCCTACACTCATTCGAATTAAAATATTGATCGATATAGGTATAGATTAATCGATTGTTTCATTATATTGTTTGGTTAGTTAGGTAAGGTTAACCTAACCTAACTAACCAAACGATATATCGAATGAAACAATCGAACAAACGATATTTTCATTCGAATGAGTGTAGGACCTAAAGTAAAGTGCAGTCAAAAGGGCTTAAAAGTTTTATTTTCTTAAGGAAAAAAAATTCAATATAACATAACTTAAGTAGTTAGTAGTACTTAGTAGTAGGCCTAGGCCAATAAGCTCAGTATTAGGCCCTACCAAATAAAGTCCACTCCAAATCTAGGCCTAGTTAACTTACTAACCTAGACTACTTACTTAACCCTTCAATGTGCAAGTTTTTTTAATAAAGACCAACCCTGCTGCGTGGGTTTGTTCGGCTTTCCAGCAGGGTCGGAACATTCGTACTATAAACGCATAAGTTATAACTTTGTTATTTATAATTATATTTTAACAATTCTTTCACCAAATTAAACAGCAAATTACTGGCTTTAAAAAAGATATATAATACATCAAAAGTCTAGGACAGTTATACAAGTTTTTCATACCTTAAAAGTTGAGTTTTGTGTGGTTAATCTTCTAAACATTCTCCCAAACATAGTCCTGCTTCACATTTTGGGCACCAGTACCTAGTGTCCCTTCTAATTCCTCTCTTGGAACACACACAATATCTTCTTTTAGCATTCACTTTGTTTGCAGTAGGTGGAATGAGGTAAAGGAAATGTCTTTCGGTTTGCCGAGCTGGTTTGGGTTTGATCGATGGTCTACCACTTACATTTCTCTGCACTTGGGATCCATAGGTTTCAAATTTAACATTTTTACCATTTCTAATCTGAAGGCAAAATGTTCACTTTTTTGGTTGGTACATTTCCAAATAATATAGGAATTCAAAACAGTAACATTTAGCAGCCCTTTGAAAATTTTTATATACCATTTCTGCCCCCTCTTTCTTTCAAGCTGATAACTGTGTAGCATTTGATCCCTCAAGTCAACCCCTCCCATTTGTTTATTATAGTCAAGTACCAAAACTGGCTTAATTTCTTGCCTACCACTCTTGCTAGTTTTCACTCCCATTTCATGGGAATGGAAGGTTGAAATAAAAGAGACAACTTGTTTATCGCGCCATTTCATGATCATGACATCTTCGCTATGCAATACAACTATTTCACCCTTATCCAACTTTTGACTTTTTACTTCATCAGGTAGGCCTACACACTTCCTGGTCAGTTTTTCATGGTGCCACAAGTGTCAGTTTTCCTTTTTTTCAATAACTTTGAAAGTTCCGGTGAATTGTTCCAATTATCCATCCAGAGCGTAAAACCCTTATCGAGAAGAGGCGCCATGAGAGATAAAACAATTGCAGTGGATTTGTTTGACTTTGGTGGGACAATAGGATTGTCAAAAACCATGCTTTTACCTGTGTATATAAGAAATGAACGGGTATACCCCGAAGATGACTCACAAATCTCAAAAGAATTAATACCAAACTGAGCTGCCTTCAGCGGCAAATACTGTTTGACCCCCAAGCGACCTTTCCACAAAGTTAACGATTCATCAATTGAAATATTCTGGGAAAGGCCAAATGCTGCCTGAAACTTATTATTCAGAAAAAATTCTAAACAAACGTTTCTGTCCATTGTCACTGAGTTTTGTCTCATCGCAAAAATGCAAGTACTTGGAAATGAGCTGAAACCGCTCCAACGGCATTGTACTTGGATACACATCAGTACGTAACAAACCATTTTTTGAATAGTATGCTCTAAGACTAGGCCTTTGGTCAATACCCATAAGCATCTCTAGGCCAAAATAAACATACAGTTCATTTTTGGTAATAGGGACCCACTTCTATGTACGAGAAAACTGATGGAATATCATTCCCTGCTTCCTATGCTGCTGCTCCGCATGGACAATAAGGTCC